ACGCCACCACCGGCTCCAGCGTCATGGCCTGCACCTTCGCCTGGAGCCGCCGTTTCGCCGCTCCCGTGGCCGCCTGCGAAGGGGACCGCCGCCGCTCCACCGCCGCCCGCTGCTGCCACCGCCGGACCGTCGCCGTCGCCGCCGCCACCGGGGCTTGCGTCATGGCCTGCATCTTCGCCTGGTGTCGCCGTGTCGCCGCTCCCGTGGCCGCCCGCGAAGGGGACCGCCGCCGCTCCACCGCCGCCCGCTGCTGCCGCCGCCGGGCCGTCGCCGTCGCCGCCGCCACCGGGGCCTGCGTCATGGCCTGCACCTTCGCCTGGTGCCGCCGTGTCGCCGCTCCCGTGGCCGCATGCGAAGGGGATCGCCGCCGCTCCACCGCCGCCCGCTGCCGCCGCCGCCGGGCCGTCGCCGTCGCCGCCGCCACCGGGGCCTGCGTCATGGCCTGCACCTTCGCCTGGTGGAGGCCGTCAGTACTCCTCTCCCTCCTTCCGAGATCACCATGGGGTTGCTGGCTCAGTTCATGTGAGATGGCCTGCCCTCCATGCTGGATGCTAGGGCAGTGCCGTGTTTTTTCCTGACGATGCTCCGGCCACGGATTGGAGGGGGATGATGAGCAGGGGGGCGGAGGGGAGGACGCGAGCTCGGAGTGGGGACGCGGGAGGAAGCAAGGCGCATCTCTGCCTAAGGGGGACACGGGCGAGAAGGGACGCGTGGGGTATGGATGGTCGATCGGTCCATCTGAGCGGGGCGTTCCGCTCGGGCTCATGGCGCGTCTTGCGACGCGCGACGACCTCGATTCAGCTATCTCTGAGATGGAGCCACCCCTTCTGCGTCCCGACATGCCGCGCTGCCACGCCAAGGACCTCAGGGTTCCCCAGACATTCAAGGAGGCGAAGGAGAGCGTGTACAGCACCCAGTTCATGGACGCAACGAAGAGAGAGGTGTTTGGGTTGCTAGAAGCAGATGCATTCAAGGTTGTTGGACCCTAGCAACCAATCGGTAATTGTATCAAGTCGAAGTTTGTGTTTGATTGGAAGGTAGATGCGTTCGGCTTTCCTACGAAGGCCAAAACCAGACTTGTGGCAAGAGGAGATATGCAGAAGGAGTACATTGACTTTGGTGATTTGTATGCTCCCACAGTAGCTTCGTCTAGTGTTCGTATGTTGGCAGCTTTGGCGTGTGAGCTTGACTTGGAGTTGTGTCATTTCGATATCGATCAGGCGTTTGTGAGGGCCCCTCTCAAGGAAGACATTTTCATGCGATTGCCGGAAGGATGTGGTGCGTTGTCGGGGAAGATTGTGCAGTTGACCCAGAGCCTTTACGGTTTGAGGCAGGCAACGCGTACCACTCCCTAGATGCCTGCCTCAAACCGTAAAGGCTCTTGTTCAACTGCACAATCTTCCCCGACAACGCACCACATCCTTCCGGCAATCGCATGAAAATGTCTTCCTTGAGAGGGGCCCTCACAAACGCCTGATCGATATCGAAATGACACAACTCCAAGTCAAGCTCACACGCCAAAGCTGCCAACATACGAACACTAGACGAAGGTACTGTGGGAGCATACAAATCACCAAAGTCAATGTACTCCTTCTGCATATCTCCTCTTGCAACAAGTCTGGTTTTGGCCTTCGTAGGAAAGCCGAACGCATCTACCTTCCAATCAAACACAAACTTATACTTGATACAATTACCGGGTGGTTGCTAGACTTTGATGTGAATGAGCCGATCTTAGAGCACCCATTTCGCGCCCTCTCTGGTTCGTTGCTATGGAAAGCTTTGTTGACTAGGCCGGATATCGCGAATGCGGTGTGGGCAGGAGCCCCTGAGGGTAGTGGCCTGAAGTTGATCCATGTGAAGGCTGCACTTGGCATCTTAGGATATGCAGTTAGGACTAGTTCGGTCGGGATTTCTTTTCAGAAGGGGACAATTTCAGGGTTTTCTTTGATCACGTTCGTCGACGCGGATTACGCCTCGCGTGAGGCGGACCTTCGGTCGGTTTCAGGGGGAGTAGTAATGTGTGCGCGCCACATTCGAAGAGTAGCAGACGTGGGCGGTCCTTTCCTTGAGCACCTTGACCGTGATGTCGGCGTGGTTGTCGCCGCCATTCAGGAAAAAACACGGCACTGCCCTGTCGTCCATCTTGGTCGCCGGCCGCTCCCACATGAAACCGTACTGGAAAAACGGTACCAAACGGAAGGGTCGTTTCTTGCCGGTGTAGAGCTCCTGCGGCGAGGCACCCCCTGCGTTGGAAGGAGATGCAGACTGGTTCAGCTTCTGCGCGGCGTCTTTTGCGGACTCCGCCCAGAGCTCGTCGCCCCGAACGCTCAGCCCGCGGATACGAGAAAATCCAGCGGGGCCAAGTATCTCTTGGGCAGCGCGGCGAGACGCCTTGCCGACCTTGAGGCACCTCTGGATGGCGCTCTCGACGACGCCGTTGTACTGCTGCACGCCGGGAGGGGAGTACTCGATCGCGATCCCCATGCTGGCACAGAACTCCTTGAA